ACGGTAAAAAGACGATACCTAGTTGTCAATTTAGTAGTACACATAAATTAATGCGGTTGAACTATCAAAGAGGAGAGTTCATTCATGCTATATATTTTGATAAACTATGCTATTATTGTATATGCTAATAAGGGCTTGATAATAGCTGTATCAAACTTACAGCAACCGCCGTCTGTCTAACTCTCTGCATTAGCAGGGAGGAGCCCGGACGAAGCTTTGCCGAAGGGCAAGGTTTCGTTCGGGGAGGTTGACATCTCTCGAACCCGCCTAGGGGGGGTTCGAAGGCTATATTTTTGGCCGGGCCTACGGGCTCGGATTACCCACATTAAACTCGGCCTTGTGCCACATGCTACCCCACGTGGGGGGGCAGCTAAATATAGCTAATAAGGGCTCGGTGACATTCTATATCCTTCATCATTCTTTCATTCATTGATTTTTATTTACTTTTCTACTTTTCGGTTTTAATTTTAAATTCTTTTGGCAAGATGGGTAATAGGCAGCTTTGCAGAATGTGAAGGAATATTGTCTTGCATGAATATCGTCTTTAGCTTCTTGATTTTGATCTATATGACTCAAATAATATCTTGTCCAAAAACTTGAAATAATTCTCTATATTTTCTTCATACCGTCATCATCTTTGAAAGGAACAATAATTTTGTTACCCACAATAATATCCCAAAAAATTACTCCACTTCCACCTTACTAAGTTGACTATTACCATATAGAATTCAAAAGCTAACCTAACCATAAGATCCATCCATTGTAGCTGTATATTCTTTTCAACTTACTTTTGAGAAATCAATTTTATGCGCTTCCTCGCCCAATTTACTGTTATTCACCCAATACGCTCAAGAGCCACTCAAGGTAGAGTGTTATTAAATGGGATTGTTGTAAGGGCGTATAACGTGGATAAGAGGTGCATCTTATGAGAATATTCAGAACAGAAAATGTTGATCCACGACTTGATGAAGTTAAGATTGTAGTGGTTGGAGAGGCAATTTCTCGGGCGTCTGTTCCACAATGCAATAATCCTGAAGAAAAAGCTATTTGTGTGGAACTTCTTCCTTACAACTGGAATACGAAGGGAATGCAGAAAGATCGACATTATGTACGTGGCATGGCGTGTCTTAGAATGTCTGGACTGATGGAACATTTGCCATGAAAATAGCGAGTAGCGAGAGTCCCTCTTTGTGGTCTTTATTCATATCGTTAGCCGATGTTCTTAATATTCTGCATCTTTTCTCTTTGTTTAAATTCACAAAATCAACTTCTTCGACTATTGTCTTGCTGGTCAATCCGATCATTTTTAAATGCCAATTTTCTTAAGAATGTAGATGATCATGACTCTCCACATGTTCTTTTTTCTTTATAATTTGTAAATTGCCATGCATTCTTGGAAAAGATAGTGGAGTGCTTTCCCATTTCCTTTTCCATGGTGTGGAATTAAGAGTTTTTCCTCATCTTAGACTAGTTGCCAACCAAGGCTAGAGAGACCAGTCTACCGAATTTAAACCATAGCTGCAGGGGAAGGGAGGGGGACAGGTTTGGAGAATAGATGGATCCATGCCTTAAGGGCGAAAGAGATGGACTCATGACTTTAATGTGAAAACGAATGCAACAGACTAAGCCGGAATTCGAAATCAGTTCGCCGATTACACTAACGGCGCCTACATCCGTTATACAACCCACACATTTAATGGAATGAGGTATCGAAGAATCGGATTCAAATTCAAGTCGAGTTCGTTATATTGACTTACGCTCAAATACCATTTGGAAAAGTATGAATCCATCTCCTCCTTTCTGTTATGGTTTAAATTGTAGAACTTGTAGCTGGAAAAAATCATGGTTATTCTAAAAAAAATTTTTAATGCAATATTCACTGACAAAAAAATATTCTCACAAACAGAATATGTTTCGGCTTTAAATAACACACAAAGGGATGATAAGCCGTAAAAAAACGAATCAAAACCAATAAATTTACCCGTTTTCATTTTTTCAAATCTTTTTGTGATATTTTGAAAGTCACTTTTACTTGTTTGCCTCTTACCAATATTTTCAATTTCTTTTTTAATTGATGAAAAATTAGAACTGAATTACAAACAAATAGCAAAGATGGTAATCACCCAACGAAGATGCACATTGAATCAATTTACATCCTAATTCTACACTGGTGTCACTCACCCCGTCAGTCAACATACTGCACAGGATATATTTCATTCTATGCGTTTTCGTAGTCATCGATAACTGTTGTGGCATACCTACAGATGATAATGTGTATTTCCCCATTCACATAAATACAGTAGTAAATACAGTTGGAATTTCTTCTCCAGCTGGTCAAACTCTCTGCCTCCGGGCAAAGAGGATACCCAGACGAGGCTATGTCGAAGGGCAGAGTTTCGTCTCGGGAAACAGCTACTCGACCCCGTTTATACGGGGTCTACGGGGAAATTTTGGCTGAGCTTACGGGCTCGGATACCCCACATTAAATTCGGCATTGTGCCACATCTGACCGCGTGAGAAGGTTGGTAGATATCCTGCAGTTGGAGATTCATCGTGGAATTCACTTGACTCACTTCTAGCAGTTGATTACTACTTCTACGCGCGGCTGGCGAATCTTATGTGTGTTATCCTAAGTATTATCGTTCATTACTAACCTTTATTTGACTATTCTATTCAGTAACCTTCCTTAGTTTACAACAATAACAAAGTTACCAATATTTCCAGCATCGAATACTGCACCTCATCTGGCACAAATAACATCGTCACTGAACTGTGAAAATTTTGAAATTGTGAAATTTATCGAAAATGTTCAAAGATACTATTGCCCCAGGTTTCATGGTTACTCAACTTAGTATGTAAAGATGGAGGACTGTTGCTATGTCTTGGCTAGAGCTGGTTAGTCTTCATTTTCCAGCCTTGAGAGAATTCAAAAATTTCTACACGGCCTTGTGGGTGATTAATTATTTGCCACCCAATAACCTATTTTCCACATCTCCATCGCTATTCTCATCTGACGAGCTACATTCATTAGTTTCACCAGTTCAGACCTTTGTAGCTAACACCTGCCATGAACGTAGATTGGGATGAAACACTCCAATTTTCCTTCATATTCCATTAGTAAGAAGGAAGTTCCATTCCACGGCTTCTTCCCAGGAACGGTTACTTTGTGAAACAAACTCCCGAGAAGATGCTTTCTCGACCGCTACACTCTTAACATCTTCAAGTCTACGGTTAACCGTTTGCCTTTCCACATATCCCCATAAACTTCACTTCTTACCACTCATACAACAACCTCTTTCAGTAACCCACTTCCTTGAGTGACTCTTGTGCCTTGTACTGGGTGAAAATTAGTAATGAATCTGTTCATATGTACAACTTTTTTCATTGTCTCAAGACCGTGCTACTTGTCTTATTAGTTGTCTGTTCGAGCTGCCTTGCTGAGAACTTACGCATCAGAAAATCTTTTTTGACTTCCATTTCAACAACATTTTAAGGCTCCAAGTCTCACAGAAAGGTCTGTTTCTTTCTTTTTCTTCCAATCAGAAAAAACAAAGTTTTTGCATCGTTCCAGTGTCTTGATTTACTAATTGTTCATCCAATACACCCGGGCAGTGAAGAGTAAATGCCCATCTAAGAACTTCATTTGCAGTTAAGGTCTACAATTTCGAGTCAATAATGTTACCTATTCAGTCCTACCTATTAATAAGTCTTTCATGTCGACAATTCAAACAACTTATTTTTAATGCTAAGTCTTTTTTGCCAGCGTAAGCAGTCTTTTTAAAGATCCAAAATCTTTTCTACACTTATCCAGCTCTTTTAATATCTAAATATTTCCTTCTATAATTTAAACTGTCTTTCGCGGGGTTAAGAAATCCTTTGATTCGCTTGGTTAGAAAGAAAAGGGAAGAGGAAGTTTCAGTGAGATTATCTCTTTCATTATTTATCACATGTCTCTCGCAGATAAATTATAACATATCTACACAACAAGCAGCATGAAACAAAAAGATAGGGTCTTACAGATAATATGGAGATTCATCTGTACTTCTGGGTATTATTTTGTGTTTCTGGGGAAGCTATATTTAGGATTCCAGATTTGAGGAGACAGGATTTATCTGCTATGTCAATATCGAGGACGTATTTTACAAACAGGAAACGACAAGTCTTCGATTTTTCCCAACATGATGACTGCGAGTTGGAGATAGTTTTTCTATATCTGGGGAAAATATATTTCCATTGGAAAACAGCGCCATGGACTTGTAAACTGCACCACGTGCCGGAGGGTGCAGACTTAGCCTCGGAAAAAAAAATGACTGCTCAGTTTAACTCCTGGAAGCTTTTGTCATTATGTAGTGATATCTTTAAGTGGCCATCATGTGACCCACATGACTTCATCTCGTCCAATTTTTATCTCTACAATCAGTTAAACTGTCAGTAATTATTTACCTCTGGATAATTTAACTTCTGCTGATTTTGTATAAATGTGTATATTTTTATCTTTGCGCACAATTTAAAAATTAATTTTTATATCTGTTATTAAATGAATGACTTTTTTTTATAAATCCTCGCATTCCAATTTTTTACCCCCGAGTGCTCTCGTATGCTTAAGGATAAATCTTTTTGGCGCATATCTATTGCTATCACATACAGGAATTCATTTTCTTAAAGAAATTTCTTTGATGAACACAGTGACATCTGTTGCAGAAAGTTAAATCAGCCGCTTAAGTGAGTTGAGACTAGTTCACACCTCAACAAGCCACGTTACTCAAAAATATGTTTCTTCTGGTTACAATATATTAATCACTGACTTGTTAATAATTCCAATTTTATTAATATCAATGAGCTGGACCCGTGGAATCTCACCATTACTCTCGAATGGATGTTTTTGCAATTAATCACTGAATAGGACTTCTACATGCATAAGAAGTATGAATTTTTGCATACATGATTAATAAGCAAAATTAATTAAAAAAAAATAAGTAAAAGAAAGAATTGAACTCTTGTTACCGAGGCTGAATAAGAAAGAAAGAAAGAAAGAAAGAAAGAAAGAAAGAAAGAAAGAATTGCGCTCGGATTATCGAGTTTAAGAAAGAAAGAAAGAAAGAAAGAAAGAAAGAAAGAAAGAAAGAAAGAAAAAGAATTGAGCTCGGATTATCGAGTTTGAGAAAGAAAGAAAGAAAGAAAGAAAGAAAGAAAGAGAGAAAGAAAGAAAGAAATTGTCATAACATCCTTGACAAACTTTGACAACAGATATTTCTCTGGTATTGTTTCAGCTAGTATTATCGAACCAAGAAAGAAAGAAAGAAAAAAAGAATGACAGAATTGAGCTATTGTTATCGAGACAGATTAAAGAAAGAAAGAAAGAAAGAAAGAAAGAAAGAAAGAAAGAAAGAAAGAAAGAAAATTGAACTCGGATTATCGCGTTTGATTAAGGAAAAAAGAAAGAGATTATCATAGCATCCATGGGACATTTCTCCGGTGCCGGTTATATTAATACAATCAATTCTGAGAAAGAAAGAAAGAAAGAAAGAAAGAAAGAAAGAAAGAAAGAAAGAATTGCGCTCGGATTATCAAGTTTAAGAAAGAAAGAAAGAAAGAAAGAAATGAATAAATGAAAGAATGAATGAATAAATGTGGGGAAATATTAAATCCGATCCCTGAGATACTTTGTTCGTGATAACACTTGAGTGATATCGGTTGAGCAACCGTTATCAAGTCCAATACTGTTTTCAAAGCGTAACTTAAGCAAAATAACATAATAACGGTAGATATTACGAGGCATTATACATACGAACAGACTACTATTCCTTACGAAGAATCTATTTTCAGATGCCATTGGCTATAGACCGCCATATTTTTGAATTTGTTCAGCTCCGTGTGAATGACTCAAGCGTGATAAAAAAAAAAGTATTTTTTGAAATCACAAGTTATCTCCCCTTGAAGGATAAATAAGATTGTGCAAGTATCGTTAGGGAGCTGGAGCGGAATGCCAAAATCATATTTGAAAGATAGAAGAGCGAAGTTGAAGTTGAATAGTAGTCCAGCCCCCACCTCGTCGCCACCACTGCAACAACCTCATAGCACTCGCTCGGCGTCCAACACACTGTTTCCTGTTTGTTATTAGCGCAACAAAACACTGTTCCCCCAATTAAGTGTCATTTGAGCGGGGAATGTACAACCGTTAATAAGTTACTTCCGCCGCCGTCCTCATCGTCTGCGCCACACGCTTCGCCGTTCAAGCTGGTAAGTAAATGCAAAAGAAAGACAACTGGGGGAGGGGGTATTGGGAAAAGAATGAGGAAGGCAAGTAGAACAAAGAGATGGGTGGAGGGACTAGGTAGAGTAGATAGCTAGAAACAAAGGTGGGTGTTGGGGAGAAGGATAAAAAAATAAAAAATAAATAAATGAAAGAAAGAAAGAAAAGAAAGTGTAATTCTGATGGGGAAATGGAGATGTCAGTCTTTGCGTGAGAGTAAGGTGGAGATCAAAGCATACAGGGAAATGGAAAAAGACGAATGAGAGAGAAGGAAAAGGTTACCGAGGGAGAAGATAGACTGGATAGGGAGAGGATTTTTAACGGCTTATCAACCTTTTTTGTGGGTTATTTAAAGCCGAAACATATTTCGGATTGTAGCAAATCGCTTACTGTACCCGTTGTTAAAAAAAAAAAAATTAAAGACTGACCGGGATAGACACTGCATAACTTCGATGATTGAACGAGAACCGGAGTTTTCAGCGTGATTTGACCGTAAGTTAGGGAGAGAAACTTGAAATTCCGAAGAATCAAATGATAAAACAAAATGTCTGACCAAAAGTCTGCAGAAGAAATGAAAAACAATAGAAAAGTTAAATGTGGAAAAAAAATATTCAAATTCAATTCTTACTGCACACTTTTTTCTTTGTTTTATTTTTATTTTGCTTTTGTTTGTTTGGTTTTATTTGTTTTTTTCTTTTGTTTAACTTTCATCTTTTTTTCTTTTGTTTGTTTTTTTCCTTTGGTTTTTGTTAGTTTTTCCTTTTCTTTATTGTTTTTCTTTTCTTTTCCTTTTGTCAGTTTTTCCTTTCTTTTTTGTTTTTCTTTTCTTTTGCTTCTGTTACTTTTTCTTTTTTGCTTTTCTTTTCTTTTGCTTTTGTCAGTTTTTACTTTTATTTTTGCTTTTCTTTACTTTTGCTTCTGTTACTTTTTCCTTTCTTTTTTGCTTCTGCTACTTTTTCCTTTTCTTTTTTGCTTTTTTCTTTTGCTTCTGTTACTTTTTCCTTTCTTTTTTGCTTCTGCTACTTTTTCCTTTTCTTTTTTGTTTTTCTTTTCTTTTGCTTCTGTTACTTTTTCTTTTTTTTTGCTTCTGTTACTTTTTCCTTTCTTTTTTTCTTTTCTTTGTCTTCTGTTACTTTTTCCTTTTCTTTTTTTGCTTTTCTTTTGCTTTTGTCAGTTTTTCCTTTTCTTTTTTGCTTTTCTTTTCTTTTGCTTTTGTTATTTTTTCCTTTTCTTTTTTGGTTTTTCTTTTCTTTTGCTTTTGTTATTTTTTTCTTTTCTTTTCCTTATTCTTTTGCTTTTCTTTTTGCTTTTTTTTGCTTTTGCTTTTGTTAGTTTGTCCTTTCTTTTTTGTTTTTCTTTTCTTTTTCTTTTGGTAGTTTTTCTTTTCTTTTATTTTGCTTTTGTTTGTTATCTTTCCCACATATCCTCGTGAACGGCACTTCTTACCTCCTCCTCCTCCTCTTATACTCATTCAAAAACCACAATCCCCCCCTGGACCCAATGTTCGTTGATCTCAACTATATTCTTAATAATCTCCTTACAGTGGGATTATCTATAGTTGCTGAAATCTATACATTTTTTGTTTTACACTAATTGTATCTGCACCCATTGGGCTCAAGTGGGCTCTGCTTAAATAACAGGAGCAGGGATGGATTCATACATTTCCCAAGGGTTTGGGAACGATTGAGGGATGTGTGGTGGTGTTATGGATAGCGGATCATGAGAAATCGGAGAGATCTGTTCGAATTCTAGTCACGTTTGTTACATTTACTTACGCACAAATACCCTTGAAAAAGGTATGAACCCATCTCTTCTTCTTCTTCCCAGCTATCGGTTAAATAGTGGGATTTGTATCAAGAAAAAACTGTTAATGCAAACCCTAAATTTCGGCTTTAAATGACCCACAAAAAGGGTTGATCAGTCGTAAAAAAGAAATCAATCAAAGTGAGTGTAACCTGAATTTGAACTCGTCTCATCTATTTCTCATCTCGAGTCACTAAATATTAAACCACCTTCACTTCCTTTTCTTTTATTATCTGTGAATTGCTATGCATTCTTGGAAATATATTGGAGCCATTTCCTGTTACCTTCTTCGCTGTTATTATAATGGGTCATTCTACTCCTAGACTGAATGCCATTCAAGGCTAAATGGCTCAACCTAGCCAGTTTAATTCACAGTTGATGATAAGATATGATTATATGAAACAAAGACTCTTCCAAAGACCATTAATTTGATGAGAACGCATCAAACCAGGCTGGGATTTAAACTACTCTTTCTACACATGCATAAGCTCACCAAAGGAGAAACAAAATGAAATCGAAACTGATATTTTTTTTTTCTTTTTAATGTTATGTCTCTTCAGGCGGTAGGCGATCGTGGCTCTCCATAGATTCCTTTACTTTATTATCTTCGAATTGCTAGGGCTTTTTGGGAAAGATAGTGGAGTAGTTTCCCATTGCTCTTTCAATCTGGATCTGAATTCGAAGTAGTCCTTCTCTTAGACTGGTTGCCTCCCAAGGCTAGAGAGCCCAGTTTACCCTGCTATTTAACCATTTTTATTCGATCTAAATGAGTGCAATCCACGTTTCGTCGTCTATCATAAAAATAAAACGGTATATTTTCGTTTCCATTAGTAGAGAATCACACGTGGAAATACACTCCCTTAAGTTTGTCGTTGCTTTCGTTGTTGTTTTCTTTGGTTTTTACTTATATGGAAGCTACGCATTTACTTATCTGGAAGATACACATCACAACCACTGATAACAACCAAGAACGTACGAACAATTTGAATATTTTACTTATCTCCCATGTGAAATATCTTTGATTTGATCACTCTCAACCTGAACTCGAGCATAGTGAAACGTCTCAAACCACTTTTAACACGTTCGATCAACCGCAGTCACTTCTCCATACATAGCATATATTCTTCTTTTTTTGTCAATTTAGTCGCATTATTGTGTCCAATTCATTCAGGAATGTCTAAACTATCATCTAAATAAAAAAAAATACTTTCAAACGAGTTAAACTTATAAATCGATGCTTGATCAGACCTTATAGACTGGCGCTACAAAATCGCCTACAAAGTTTTTCCATATAAGAAAAACCACGAAACTTGAACACATCCAAAATCAGCAACAACATTTATGAGTCGCGCATACAAATAAATGAGATAATCAAGCTGTTACCATTCATTACTACCAAAAGCAAAAGATCTGGGAGGAAATTGCCGTCAAGTCTTACGGTCACATTACATTGAAACACCGATTCCCGTACGATCACCGAAATTAAGCAACGTTGAGCTTGGTCAGTACTTAGATGGGTAACCGTTGGGAATATCAGGTACTGTAAGCTTGGATGTACGAGTAGTGTTAAAGATAATGGCTCGAAATTCTTAATCGGTGAGCCGAGTTCCAATTCCCGTTGGGTTTGTTATATTCACTTAAGCGCTTGGGAAAGTTATAAATCCGCTTCTTCTCTTCCCGTCTATGGTTTAAATAGTAAGACGTGTATCACTAAATCATTATTATATCCCGCTCCCACCACCAAATCTTACAATCTAAAAAATATTTCATGGCTTTAAATAATCTGCAAGGAGTTGATGGGTCGTAAAAAAACAGATCAATCGATCAACCAATTAAGAAACTCATGTCAATAATAGAAAGGGGTATGACTGTAGATTTAAGGAAAAATATTATAATTTTCAATAGACAGTAAGACAAGCTGCCGGTTTATGAATGTTTCCTGTATGGAAACGACAACATTCAACATTAGAATGACAAAAGATAAGTGTTTAGTTATATAAGTGTATATAAGCTTAATGGGGACGTGGCCGAGTGGTTAGGACGTTCGCTTTCTTATCATGAGACCTGGGGGTTCGAATCTCACTATGGTCACTAATGTGACTTCTTGATGTTATTGGCCCGTAGAGGGAGGCGCTTTGAAAATACTATGGGTTGAAAGGGAAAATTGGAACTATTCGGGAGTCGTCGATAGTTGTGCTAGCACGAAGTCACAAGTCTACGTGACCGAGGGTTTGAGTGCACTTGCCTTGTTCAGACCGTCGATCGCACCAGCTAATGCGCCCCTCTCCCAGAAAATATAACTAAAGTCCGCTCAACATAGTTGCAGTATAAACCAATAAACTTGGGTGTTGAACAAGCACTAATATGCCTAAGCAGGCGTCTTTCATAGGGACTGGCTAGCCGCCTTAGCACACAGACATACTCGGATACGAACGGGCCAGACATTTAGTTTAAGTTTAGCTTAATCTGGCAGAAGGCTACAACTATAGGGCATTTTAAATTCACCAGTATAGAGCAGCCAGTGAGGATCGAACTCATAACTCAGTCGTAATTGTTTTATCGAGACAAACTTGTTAACCAATACACCATGTCGATAGGCCTAAATAGTGATTTTCTAAGCGTATCTTAGACGTGGCAAAAGGGTGAAAGTATGTAGCACCCTGCGAGGATCGAACTCCAGACGGTTGTAATGAGCTGCTAGATTAACTTAATGACCATTGCCCCACGTAAAGGCACCCAAAAGTTTTGATTTTTTTTTTGTCTCTCAGAAATGTGAATAAATTGAAAAGAAAAATCCTGTGATATGAGCAATGGGGACTAAGTATAGAATTACTTGAAACATTCCAAATATAGTGGCAATTATTTGGCGAGTTGATTGGAGAAGACGGGTATTTGTTTGGCCTTTAGCTTGCCCGAACAAGCTGACGATTCGGGTTTTTTTTTTCTTCCTTTTGTTTTGTTTTCTTTTGTTTTATGTTCTGTTTTTTTTTTTTTTTTTTTTGTTTTGTTTTTTTTGTTTTTTTTTCCAAAGGGTGAATTTTATTTGTCAGGCTAGCCAGAGAAAATGGCAGCGTGAGTTCAGAGAGTTACATATTCCTAGTAAATTCATAGTAAGAGGAATCAACTAAACTGAGAATGAACAGAATAATCATGAAAAGAATGAATGAATGAATGAATGAAAGAAAGAAAGAAAGAAAGAAAGAAAGAAAGAAAGAAAGAAAGAAAGAAAAAAGATTAAAACCGAAAAGTAAGAAGGGAAAAGAAAAAAGGAAAAAAAGTAGAAAGAAAAAAATAAAGAAACAATAATATTAAAGTAGGAAAAAATAAGAAAGAAAGATGTTTTCGTTATCTAAAGAAAAGAAAGTAAAAAAAAATGAAAAAGAAAAGAAAATTGATAAAAGGAAGAGATTGTTACTGATAATTTGATACAATAAAGAAAGAAACCTCAAACAAGGGCGATGCAGCACATGTTTCCTTTACTTTCTAGTCCAATATTGTTACCAGCCTCAATTAGAAAAAATTCTTAATCTGAAATTAGTGACTACTCATATAACTATGTTAAAATGTCATATGACAAACACATGCGAATGTGTGAGAAAGTAATACATATCATTGTATGCATGCGCTATTTGTTACGTGTGTTATGCTTATATATGCTTATATTGCATTTTGTACATATGCATGTATGTATGTGTATGTGTGCATTGTGCTGTGTGCACATAAATGTATACCCATATATTACGCATGTCTGTGTGTGTATTTAGGCAGTATATCTTCATGCAAACTTGTTTCATTGAATAATATAGGCATATTGTGTCTACTTATTTTTATACTGATCATTTCCAGTTGTCTAATCACTTTCTTTTCTATGTTAAGATGAAATTCATCAAGGAAGGCACCGTAGTTTTGGGTTTTTACTTTTGATATTTCCTAAGATCATCTTCAAGAGTAAATTACAAATAACTTTGTCTTTGTAATTTAGCCCTGAATATATATATATATATACATATATATATATATATATATATATATATATATATATATATATATATATATAACCAAAAAGATTTTCATAACTACTTTTGGTTCTCACCAGTCGAGATGCCTGTGCATTGAAAAAAAATGAATCTTTATCGTAAGTAGTTGTTTTTGTCCGTATGTAATAATAAATAATTATTGCTTCACTTATGGTATTCAGTCCTCTTTTGAATTAATGCTGTGAACGTTAGAATTTATATTTATTTTGTTCTTATTACATTTGTATATATATATATATATATATATATATATGTGTGTGTGTGTGTGTGTGTGTGTGTGTGTGTGTGTGTGTGTGTGTGTGTGTGTGTGTGCAGGACTAAACATCAATTGTAAGAAGACAAAATGTATGGTTGCCAGTAAAGGAACATCTCAGCATACGAATTACAATTTGGTGATACCAAAATCAAGCAAATACAAAATTTCAAATATCTAGGAAGTGTTTTAACAGCGGGCGGAAAATGCGACACCCAAATCCGAAGGCGCATTGGGATAAGGAAAGATGCCTTCCAAAAGCTAAGCAAAGTATTAAGAAACAGGAAAATATCGTTAGAAACAAAGGAAATAATAAAACTGTCATGCAATATCGCCCCTCCTATGTGGCGATGAATGTTGGACAATCTCATCACAGATGGTGAAGAAACTTAAGACAATAGAAATGTGGTTCTACAGAAGGATGCTGAGAATAACCAGGACCGAACATCTTTTACCCATGACGAAGTTTTAGAGAAAATGGAAACCAAAAAGGTCACTTAACATCAGAAAGAGAAAATTGACATTTCTCAGGCACGTAATGAGGAAAGAGAGCTTAGAAAATTTGGCCCTCACACGACATATTTAAGGCAAAAAGGGTCTAAGGAAAGCAGCGCAAAACCTACAAAACGTGGGATTAGGAGAAATAGCAAAATGAGCTTTAGTAAAAGTTACAAAGGACAGGAAATTGTAGGAAGCCATGATCGCAAACATCCTGCAGGGACACGGTTCATAGAAGAAGAAAGCTTAAACACATATGTGTCTATGTGGCTGTGCGTCCATTGTGAGTGTGTTTATAGCTAGCGTGTTTTAAAACAATAGCATTTACTTTTATTGTCTGTTTGCATGCGTATGAAGGCGTTCGCACGTGTATATACTAGTCTGCCCATATCTACACGTGTTTTAAAGGGAATTGGAAAGTCGTCATTCATGTCTGAGATTTTCCTTTATCGTTCCGTTCAAACAATATCACTCAACGCTTCTGTCAGAAGAGTGTATGAGGAAATAAAACCATGAATGGAAGAAACAGAAAAATTGCGCATGCGTACATGACTGATAGCCATTTGCAGCTTGCATCCCTTCAAAACAAAGCAAAAAGCAGACAACCGTTACCCACGCAATTAGAGTGTAAATAACAAGGCCGTATTATTTGAAATATCACTGAATAATTGTCGGTCGGTTGCTTTGGTAAAAAGATCGCCAACTAAAAGTCATTCGGTTGCGAGGATTTACTGCAATTAAGATATCAATTAGTCTGCCATTGTTCTCGAGAAATCCTTCTTTGACATACATGCGTGTGCACATGAATGTGTGTATATTTTGTTTATAGACGAGTACGAACTCGATATAAAATTCACGTTTCTAATGTGTGCGTGTGAATAATTTCTGACCTATGACAATCCCTGTTTTTTGAAGACGGATCGACACGTAGATTTTGTTGAATCTGAAATTATTCGTATATAGCAGTGGTTCGTAAAGTTTTCCTAGCTGCCACTTCTTTGGTCCCCAGGCCTCTTCCCACAACCATATGAAAACACTCCTTTTCCGATATGAGGTATGCTGCAAATTCAAAACAATTTAGCACCAGACGAACATCCGCAACTATATCGTTAGACCTACATATGCCCCCTCACAGACGTCTGCTGTCTGTGATTTGGCTGGCGTACGCCGCATCCTCTCCAGATAACTTGAGCAACATACAAACAAACATTTGGACAATGAATAAAAAATGAAATAAAATCATGTGTTCGTGTTAATTTTATTCTTTGTAAAGCATACGTGTTTATTAAGTGTAATATATATTTAGTCACATAGATTTTATAAAAAAAATAAAAATAAAAAAAGACGTAAAATATGACTTAGTTTTTAATGGCAGCTTTCTACTCCCTCCAACCACTTTTCTCTAACAGCCCTCCACCATCTTCTTTTTCTTTTTTCTTTTTCTTTTTTTCGAACCACCGCCTGAATCTTTCCACCCAGAATCCTGAGTATAGAGTGTTCGAACTGCGTTATGTCATCTACGAAGAACATTAAGTGTATTGACAAAGAATGAAACTCATTTATTTATATGTTTACTATTGGCGCTGTGCAACACAATGAAACTGGACAGCAGTCACCAAGTGCGCTAACACATGCGCGTGCGCGCTAAAATCAAATCAAGAAAAGTAATAACGTTTAAAAATTCGTTGAAAATTGTTACCTGCGGTAGCGTTCATTTTCTGCAGGGCCCAAGGATAAAAGTTGTTCTTCAAGCGCCAAGAACGAATAAAACTAAAACACCTTAGTACCCGGCATGTGTGCTGCTTTTTTTTAATTGTTTTCTGCTATGTTGAAAAATAAATATTTTAGTATAAACCTAAATGCATTTTTCAACACTAGGTTTATTAATGCACCTGTATATAGTAACTTAACAAGCGTAGCTTAGTTATGGCACAAGGTCACAAGCATGAAGCACCCAGTGAGAAACGAACGCACGACTTTGTCGTAATTAATCAAGTGATACAAACTTGCTAACCATTACAACACGTCAAAGGGCTCAATATACATATATGTAACACTGTTATTGAATCTGCAACACTTAATTACATTACTAAAAAGTGATAATCTACTTTTTCTTCGCGTTTAATAATGTAGTTTTTTGGGTTTTTTCGGTTTTTTCGGTTTTTTTTTTTTTTTGGTTTTTTTTTTCATCCAAAGAAAGTCAATAATGCCACTAAGACGCTAGGGGCTAATGCATAGAAAGGACAATAAAAGAACAGTTTTCCGGAAGACACAAGATGGCAATTGACGTTGCATATAAATTTTTGAAGATTGTAGGTGGCAGCGAAAGAAGAAATCGAGTGAAAAGTGCTAAAAAAAAAAAGAAAATATTAGAATAGAACTTACATCTAGATAATTCAACAGTGAAAGGATGAGATCTAGCTGCTAATCTAGTAAAACCACTTAAATGCATGCGATCGACGTAATAAGGAGAGCTCATTTGAACAATTACCATGAAAATATTTATAGAAAAGACAGAGAGAAGCCATGTCATGACGGTGACTGAAGTCGAGATGCCAGGTCAGGATCTATAACATTACAAACCCTTCATTGGATTTTGCCGAGACTTTTGAGTAGGAGCATCAGACCAGATATGGCAGCAATATGCAATGAGCTGACGAATGGTAAATGTATAAACATACAAGATGGCTTCTGGTGAGAGAGATCGTCTGGCACAACTGGATGAACCAACCTTCTTAACAACAGATCTAGCAATTGATTCAGTTGAGGATGAAGGCGTAATGCGTTGCTTTCTTGGGTGTTAACATCAGCCATGCTGGTGGAGAAGAAAATGACCCTCTATGATCATTAAAGGGTAGTTTCATTTTGAGGTGTTAAAATTTATAAGCTATTTCTTGCCCCAGTTAACAACCAATTGGAGGCTATTTTCGAGAGCAACTGTCAGTTTTACTTTGTCAAACTTACTATTAATGCAGGAATAAATATTTGTATAATCAGCATATTTGAATGCATTTCTATGGGGAAATTATTTGCAACATTTTATAGTAAAATTTTACAGTAAAATTATATTTATTTACATTCCTATTCTGTCAGTAATTATTGCATTGATTGCTGACAACTGTAAATAAAATATACAGACTAAATGTCGAAATGTGCCAAACAAATTTTAGATTAAAAAAAATGTATCGGAGTAAAAGTCGAATACTGACTACGCCTTTTTCGGAGCGAATAAACAAAATGCTGTGATTGGTTTAAAAATAAAAAGAGTTTTTTTTAATGTTTTTTTTTTTTTGTTTTTTTGTTTTTTTGTTTTTAGTCAGAATTATTATTTCTACCTACGCATTGTATTATGACCGTTTCTCTTCAGGCGGCAAATACCAAGGCAGATGAACAATTTTCAACATTTGGTTTCATTTTCTTGGTTGCTCTCTATGGCTCTTTGTCATACTTTCAAACCTGACAATCAGTCAAAAAAATAAAAATTGTTTTGGTTACTAGTCTAGAGGTGCCGAGGTTGACAGCTCAAATACGTTAAATTTATACTTACGTTAATTGTTAAACATTATATATATATATACAATAATCCTATTCTTTCAGTAATACAAACATTAATTACTGACTCCTGACAAGTCTTTTTCGCTCATTCTTATTATACAACGTACAAATCGAGTGCAGTAATTGCTGAAAGGAATGTCATACTGAAATATTCAAAATTCGATATTTATTCAAAGATTTCTTTTGTTAATCGAGAAATTGTCAAAAAAATGAAAAGATGATAAGGTAAAAGGGGATACTGATAAAAGAAAAAAAAAGGTAAAAACTTACCTATGTATTTTTTAATGTCATGTCCCTTCAGGATGTAGGTGACTATGGCTCTCCACAGATTTTTTTGTTATCTCTGAGACATATTATGATTACTTATACTATTTAAACTGTTATCCTTATTGCCATATTCACGGCGTACTCTCCTGCATTCTTCAGGTGATCGGAATTTCGAACCGAACGCTTTATTTCGTTTACCGAGGTAGAGTGTTCTAGTTTCATGGTTTATGCCTCAATTATTTCTCTTTAACTCAACTCTCCAAGTTTTTTGTTCGCCATAGCCTGGTATTGAACTCACAACTCTTTGGGTCTAGTCTAGTTGATCTAACAAACGCCTTTATCCACTATATTCTTGAGGACATCTGTGTAGCAATTTCTGGGACTTATAAACAATCACCATATTCTTTTAACAGTGCTCATATAGCAATTTTTCTGTTATTATTAATTCACATTTTTCCCAGAGCTTATAATGAAATTTTTTATTGTATTTTTTTTTTGTTTTTTTTATCCATTGCTTTTCTCTAGTAGTCATTATTACTGGTCGTCAGATTGTATTCATTTCTATGTTTGGTCGGCTCAGGAAATTTTTCTGGCCTAGCATATGTTGCTCTTTTGTTACTTGATTTTACGTTTTCTTTCGAAAACTAACTAAACTTTCTCTCTATATATGCTTTTACTTTTCATAGCAAATTGTTACGGTTTTTCCTTAGTTTGGTTTACTTCCGGTGAGGATTTCCATCAGTTATTCTTTCAATTTTTACCTCATTTCCTCGATAATATTTTTCAATATCTACTTTAGTCTGTACGATTTCCTCAACACACATCGGGCCCTTTCAATCTTCTCTTCACTTCCAATATTTGCTCCTTCATTTTCCTCGTTTTTTTCTGTTTCGCAGATCATCTTGCACGCCATAATGAACAATTTATTCCAATTGAGTCCAACCCCATAACGAACAATTTACACTAATCTGCACGATCCTAATATTTCCTTTAATGTACGAAAATAAAGATTTTTCTATTTTTCCTTTAATTTCAGCATTATTGACTTTGTCGCATGGATTATTCCTAAGGATTTATACCCATCACCATCCTCCAGCGATGATATTATTATTATTATTATTATTATTATTATTATCTTTGATTTCTGACATTTACACATTTCTTTCCGGTTCCCGCCCAGGAACCTAAGGTTAGAAATGGCATAATGACACTTTCCACTGACAAAAAAAAAATTACATAGATAAAGCCCTTCATAAAGTGTTGGGTGTACTTGTCAGAACAATTTTTTGTATCTCCTTGAGGCATGGACTTCCAGGAATCCCTTCAATTAGTCTACTGCAATCTTTTCCAACCAGTCCTAGGGCTCCAACTACAACAGGGATTGTTGATGTTCCCATATGCCACATTTTCGAGATTTCTATTTATTATTATTATTATTACCATCACTATTATTATTATTATTATTAATATTATTATTATCACACATCACTATTATTATTATTACTATTCTCTTTGATTTCTGTTCTATACACATTTCCCAATCAGAGACCTAAGATCAGAAATGGCTTCATGACATTTTCCACTGATCATTTTTGTAAAAAAGCAAAAAAAAAATAAGGTCACACACATTTTACATAGCTATGCTCTTCATAATGTGTGAACTGTACTGCATTTCATTGGAAATATTACTGAGAGGTACCTGGTCTCGGGAAACAGTCCC